TACATGGACTTACATTAAATACTAACATTTAGCCTAAGTTAAAAGCACTTTAAAATATGAACATTAAAAAGATCTAAATTCAAATACCAATGTCTAGGCCATCTAACCATTGAAGTGCAGCATCATTTATATTTTAAAAAATCAGATATTTCTAATATTCATAATAATAAATTGAATTAATATACCATAACTTGTTGGCTGGATTTATACATGCTACCAAATTGTATATGCTTGTTTATGGCTTACCATGTTTTCTGAAACCAGCTCTTGTGTTCAGTAAACAATGTTTCACTTCAACGCGTGGTATTAACCCAGTCAACTATATTTATTAAAACTTGGTTAAGCAAACCATGGCTCAATGTTACCATAATCCATGACTTGACACAAAATAATGGTTTTGCTCAATAAACATGTTAAACCCAAACAAACCACAATGTGAAAGCTTGATTCATACAAGAAAGATATAACATGCTTTTAATTTAGTCTTGTAGTTTTTCAACCATATTTATGCTTTAAAATGTTGTTATAAGATAGCTATAGAGCTGCTACAAGGATTAAAAAAGGGCAAGAAAACTGTAAATATACTTGGAATAACCTGGAATAAAAGTGAGGTACAATAAATGCAAGCTTTGTCTTCAGGCAATTGATGAGAGGGCTGTTGTTTTCCTGTTCTTACCCTACTCAGGGATTCAAAGAAAAAAATTACAGAGAGGGAGAAGGGTGGGGCGGGGGGGATGACTTTTGACTTCTTGCTTTAGGCATTCCTATTCTAGGAAGTTCTTGTAATCAACCAGCATTTATGTAGCAAATGAGTCTCAGGACTTAACTCCAGATTCAGGGAGAGATGGTGAAGTCCAACAAGAGCAAAACACTGCACACAGGAAGTATAGAAACAAGTTCTTCCACTCTAAGTGAAGAAAATGACCCAACTGTAGAAACCCTGGAAGAAGTTATATCCCCTTCCAAGGAAATAGACTGACTGGAGACTAGCAGGAGGAATAGACTGTCTATTCTCCTACGTAATAAGAACCGGAAAATGTGCCAATTATAGAGCATGTGCATTTGCAAGTATAGGAAACCTGGTGAAGTATACTGACAAAATGAGCTATCCAGGCCCTTTTCAAGAAACTGAAGCTGTTGCTTCTACCAAGAATTCATTGAATGGCTTTAAGGCAAAAGCTAGGCTGGAGAATGGAAGAACTTTCTCTCACCCCACTCAAGCAGCTATCATGAGAAAGGTAGCCTATTCGTGTAAGAAGTCTGAAATGTGCACACGCACACAGGCTTTTGATATAAAATTTAGAACAGGAGTTCTAATTTGTCACTTAAACCCTTTGTGCCACATTATGTAACAGCATTTGGCATCAGCACTCCTCAAAAAAAAAAAAAAAAAAAAAAGCGCATTTTTTGGTTAACTTTGAAGTGTGTTTTAATTTCATCAGTCCTTTACATTTTGGTGGCATTACTTCCTTTGCTGTTTCCTAACCTATTGAAATACATCTCACATCATTATTAGTTATTTCCATTTGTACACTACCCTTAATCATAAATCATACAACAACATTCATATTAAAATTGCTCAGCAAATTTAATGGTGGGCATGCATGCAGAGTGTAAGTGGAACGCGGTCCTCCTAATGCAGAGAACTGGGATGATCCCTGCAACTGTGAATCTAACTGTGTAAGGTGACATGGAGTGCACCTCTGACTCCGGAAGATTCAATTTCTATTTTAAAGTAAGCTCTGTCACATCATAACCCATTCAATTTGCAAGCCATTCCTAATGGACTGGAAACCTGATCCACTTTTCCTTTATTTTGTCCTCCCGAATGACAGACTGCAGATTGCTTTCAGGAGCTCACGACAAGCAAGCGTGAAATGTGAGCTATGAGGCAGGGTGCGTGGCACACATTTAGTCTTTCCAATGAAACAGAAAAAGAGAAGAGAAGCACGCTGGAATGCAAGTTCCACTCCATAAGGAGTAGCAAGAGAAGAAGTAAAGCTGGCATCCTGAAGTTGCGGAGGAGGAGAAATTTTGAGGTGTCTGCAATGTCCCAGTGCTGATTTGTAGTTAATGCTATGTGATTGATGGGTGCATTTGCAAAACAGATCAGGAAAAATCTCCATGTGGTAGGACTACTACTTCGCAAGATGTAATGTATCCCTCATTTAGAAATGAGGCAGAACTTTGGAAGG